TATTTTACTCTCTGCCACAGCAATTGTGACAAAAAATTTGAAAGATACAGACAGCTGCTACTTAGGTAGTTCAACTCAAACAAAATAAAATTTAAAATCGCTTGTTTACAAAAGGAGTAACAACCAGTGTAATGAAGTAAGGATTGATAATAATGATGGTCGTGTCAAAAGTTTAGTTTAGTTTAGATTGTTTGAAAATTGCAAGCCAAAGGAGAGTTTTAAAAGCAAGCAAGTTCCTTGAATTGCGATAATTGCTTCAGAAAACAGTCAAACTTGAACATCGCCAGATTTATTCCCCTTCGAGAACTATAGCACTTCTACTTTCGCAAAGTTATAAATTTGGCAACGCGACACCAAGACCCTGTACTGTACAATAAAAGAATCTCCAACTTTGCAGATATATTGGCTTCAGTTTTGCTCAAAATTCCAAGAAAATTTTTCATTAACGCCAACTACGAAAAATCTTTCGATAACTCTGATGCCTAAATAAACTATTATTACATCTTCTCACTAACGGAAAATTTGTATCTCGTATTACTAATTTCATAAAATGCTCTAAGAAGAGTGCGGTATGAAAATTAACACAAACGTAAGGGATGTAAAGGTAGGCTAAGAACTAAAATAAAACTAGAAGACGATGAACTAGAAAAAATGGTCGATTTTCGATATTTAAGAAAAGAAATTACTTTTGCACTCGAGATATCTTAATTTAGAAATTCTAAAACAATTATTAAACGTGTATATATATTTGAAACATGGACGGTGTGTCCACCACAGAAAAGAAAACGTTGGAAGCGTTTGAAGATGCTAAAAATATCGTAGATAGAAAAGGTCATCTACGTATGTCCTTAGATTGTTATAGCTTTTTCGGTTTTATTATAGTTCTTTTAATTGTTAGTAGTTCATTTTTTTATTATTAAATTAGGTAAAAGAGAACGTAAATATTTAGGGAAATGTTGTACTGCAAATTATTAACAGTACGAGCTAGTTAACAGTAGGAATACCCCTAAGCCAAATATGAAATCTACTTTAGTTAAGAACCTACTAATAAAAGGGCGTTTTGCACCCTACAGTAATGCTCCAACTTAAATGCAACACATCTGCCTGTTCTCGTTTAGGTTTATCAGCTGCGTGATTTCCTCGACTATGCCTAATAAAGCGCAAAGTATTTGCTACTTGTCGACAAATTTCCAGCTTATTCTATTGTAATAAACATTAACTTTACTAAACGTTGTAATCTACTAAAAAAGAAATACCTACCAGGTTTAAAATTCTTAAATTCATAACTAATAGTCGCCAGTGTAGTAATGCTAAAGTAAATACTTAATGGTTTGCCTTTTCTTCTAATTTAATTAATTATTTTTCTGTGTAAACTTATAATCGGTAACTATGAGTTTGTAGAAAGCTTAATTATTTTTATACTACTGCATTCGGAAAATCCAAGTTCACCGTAGAATTTATTTATTTCAATTTGATTCCAGTACCTGACTGCAGAAGCGTTTGTAGCAATGATAAATATGTTAGTAACACGAGAAATGATGTGACTTGTTTCAATTAGAAGGTGCATTTACGATCACTAATTATCACTTGCCTCTTCCTGGTCTTTATAGGTTGATATATGTCTGGAGAATTTTCAAACTCCGTTGGATTTGCAACTCTAATCAGAATTTTCGTCAGTCGTCTAGTCGTAAATCAACCCAGTGGGTGGGTCGATTCACTTAAAAGGGTCAATTTTTTTAATATCTGTTATCACACATATCCAAAGTACCTTACTACTACATATTGACAGCAGTTTAAAAAGGTCCTCGCAAAAGTCAGATTTATGTCCCCTTTTGTAACGATAACAGATTCGGTGCCTACTTTGATGATAGCCCTGTTGTTCTCTTTCGCGTGTAATTTACCGGTTCAACTATTAAAAATTAAACGTTAATTACAAAATTATTCTACACACCGCTAGTAGTTAATCGCCTTCAAAGAAAACCGTTTAAATATTTTAACAATCTATTACCATCAACATATGATTCCTTTAATATTTATCAAGAATGATGGATCGATAACATTTTGTGAATATACAAAACAATGGCCAATATAAGGGTTTTCCGTTAAAATGAAATTTATGACTTTAGAAGATTTTAGAGAGAATATTAAATTCTTGGGACTAAATGGAAAAGATATTAGAAACACATATATATGTAAATAAGAGAGGAGCTTAAAGGATTCAGATAAAAGATTTTCCCGTGTGCAATTTTATTTGAACGGTTATTCCATGATCCTAATTCTATTTCGGAAATTTCTGCACTACACTTTATTTCGATTGTCTTATTGTTACTTATTTTTTAATTACATTTTCAAATTCATATACATACGTTCATCCAGAAGGGCATTATTGTTAGTATTTTCAATCAAATTTTGTCGTACTTTCTTAATAATTACATTGTTAGAGTTGTAACTTTTACTCCATGTTGGGTTGTCTATATATTATGTTACAAGTTGCAATTTAATTTATTGTAAAACGAAAAGTATACATTAGCACACCTTCCTGCGTCTACGGGGAACAAATATAAATTAAAGATGGAAATTCATCAATGTACATCAACGAAACTGGAATTATAGCTGAATTACAACCTTTGTTTTAAAATGTCCCGGCGCCTCCACCAAAATTTTCCATAAATTTTTTTATTTAGCTTATTAAATTATCCTTGTATATTTATATAATATTTTACAATGAAAATTAACTATATACTCGTAATTAGTAACTAAATACTTTTTTATTAACAATTCCAAATAAAAATGTGTAAGAATTTT